CCCCCCCCACCCCTGTCACCGATCTCAGCCATTAGAAACTAAACAAACCCAGTGAAACCCCCAATAAAGGGCAGGCTCCCTGTTTAATGAGGGGGACTGTGTCTGTATGCATGCATATGTACACACAGCGGGAGCACTGCAATGAAAATCAATAAATACTAAACCAAGTGAGTCAGTTACCAAAGTAATTTTCCATAATGGCTGCTGTTTACCACTATAAATATGCGCATACAGTGAATTCGCGGCACAGGGACGTGAGATACGGACAGGCAGCCGGAAAGTTCCCCCGCTCTCCGCAGCCCGCAGTAATTAAGCTGCATCACAGCTATTCATTTGTTCAAGGGTCTCGTAAACAAGCCAGTGAATAAGGTGTTTCGCTGAACTATGAGAAGCATTTGAGCTTAATCGTGGCAAGAAAAACTGTCTCAGTACCAGCTGCTTGCTGTTATCGTGGCAAATCAGGCCGGCGATCCCAAAAAGTGCAATAAGAGCCGCAATAGCAAAGCGACCTGCATAAACATCGCAAAGTGGATGAGGAGAGAGTGGGGGCTTCGTCAGGCCCAGCCCTGCTGCCGTTAGCGACCCCCTGAGCGCGAGCGGCTCGACCAATCGGGGCCGAGCACCTGCCGTCCACCCATTTATCTTGGGTGCAGCTTCTCAGCAGGAAACCCAGGGCATTCTGGGAAGGCCGTAGGTGTGCTTTTTTAAGGAGCGGGAAGTGTGGCCACGGCGGCAGTGCTCCTGAGGGACATGCGGGGGCTGTTCGTCATTCCACTGGGCGTCCTCGCGGCGGAGTCACCTTGTGGTGGGGTTTCCATCCCAATGAGGTGTGGGGGGGTGCTAGACACACCTCGACTTAAAACATTCAGACTCCCTCCTCCCCACCCCAATTACCAAGCCCTTTGTACCACTGTGGAGTCAACAAGATATTGAATATTTTAGTAATAAAAGTGTGCTTTTTATAATCAGTGTGCTTGAGTAAAATGGAATACCATATTCATTATTCAGGCCCGGTTCCAAAACTTGTAATAATGTCCCAAAAGGCCTCATTGCTTATGTATTTTATGGATTTAACAGACAGAGATGGTTCCCAAAGCTGACTAGGATATCCTGAAACAGGCACGCGAGATCAGGGGGGTCCTACCGCACAGAGCTCAGCCTGTGCAAACATTCTAATTAAGCGATGTTCAGCTGGATCCCCTCTGCTTCAGGGGTAACATGAGGCAGCTGGGGTGAAGCATGAGGCAGCTGGGGTGAAGCAGGAGGCAGCTGGGGTGAAGCATGAGGCAGCTGGGGTGAAGCATGAGGCAGCTGGGGTGAAGCATGAGGCAGCTGGGGTGAAGCATGAGGCAGCTGCCTTCGCGAACAGACCCGAGTGTCCCTGCAGCTCGAAGCCGGCCCCGTGGCCACCTCTCCTGACAGCTGGAGAGTGAGTGCCTCCAGTCAAAGTGCTGGTTTAGCATTGCTCCCCCACCCGGGTCTACGGAACAGAAGCACCCAGGGGAGGCCGGCGAGAGAAACTCCCCGAACCGAGATGGGGGAGCTCGTCACCAGTCAGCCTGGCGCAGAGATCGTCATTGTATTAGGACTCATTACTGCTAATAATTACTGTCAGAAATCCTGCAGGGCGTTTGGAGAGGTAATTATCAAAGATGATAGAGGCAAACCTCCCTGCCTCCACTAAAACAGGAACAGCAGGTGAGCAGGACTCAGCATCAGTGGGAACGCGCTGGAAAAACGGGGGTCCGTGTGACCCCTGACTCATGGGGCCGCCAGCCTGATTTCCCTCAGATCAGCAGGTCCCTGTAACTCTGCAGTGCTGGGCAGAAGGGTGTTTTATTGCATTGTCTTTGATACAGGCGGAGGTAACAAATGAGAGGCATGGCTACACCACAGCCCACCCACACCGTTACTTCACCTGATAAAAGTGTTTGTAATGTTGCCGGTTGTGTTTTTTTTTTTTTTTTTTAAAGGGTGTTATTTTTTGGTCTGATGAAAGCTTTTGTTTTCTGCAAATGCAACTTAATGATGTAAAACCAGGTCAATCCGTGTTATTTTTGTTTCCACGGCTACATTTTGGCTCTCATTACTTTGTTCGCTTGCAGCCAGACTTTCCGTGACCTCTGACCTCCCGCGAAGACTGACGATGTGGACACGGCGGCGGTGGAGCCCGCGGCCGGGGACGCATCCTTTACCCGCGACCATCCACTTAATTCACCTTGAGTCGCCTGACAGTGAAAAATATGGCGCTGGCTGGTTGTGGCCCGGCTCAGCAAGGCTGACGCTTTATCGCCTCCTTGTGTACGCCGTGTTCCACCGAGGATCCAGTAATGACCGCCATCCATCAGAGGGGGACACTTTTACTCTGCACAAAAAAAAATATATGTATTAATTATGTCTCTATCCTGCAGGAAGGGGAGAGAGGTCTGGTACGGCCTGCTAGAGCAACTGGAAAGACCGGAGAGGCGGATTGAGATGAACCGTGGTCCGGAGCGATATGTACCATAGGTAGGAATGCAGACCACAGGCACAAGGACGGTCTGGAGCGAGACGGACTGCGGCCCCAGGGCTGGTCCAGAGTGAGACGCACGCTGGGTGGGAATGATCCAGAGGGAGATGTACTGCAGTGTCAGCGAGCTGTGTGTTTGCCGCTTTGGTCAGTGGCGTCACGGTAAGACCACTGAGCCACCGGGACGGCGTGACTGGCCGAGGCAGGCGGCTCATGTGGCGGAATCCGAGATTAACAAACACGATGCTTAACCCAAACTGGGTTTTACAAGACTCCCCCCCCCCCCTCCAGGTGAGGGGGTGAAGGGTATTTATAAAAAAAACAAAAAAACTAGCCTACATTTATTTTCAGACCAGCTTTCTTGCATGGGGGGTCACCTTCCATGGTGTAAACCGCATGAAATCAAAGACCACCCAGCTTGTCGCCGATAGAGAGCTCAGTCACAGCCCAGCAACCTCCCCTCCCCCACCACCAGCTCGCAAGGAGACCCTCCCCGGGAAACAGTGTGACACCCAGGCCCTCTCCCAACTCCCCGATTATAGCCTCGCTCCGCCATACCACAGCATACGCTGTTTTTTTGTTGTTTACACTGGGGACAGAAGGACTTGTAAGAATGGAGTAGGAGACTATGGGGTTTAAAAAAATATTGCAGATAATTATCGTTGCATTCGTGCCATTAAATTGTGGGGTAATTTGCGCTGTGGGCTAATCTGTTCTTTTTAATCTCTGTCTCTAAAATTGGCTTTGAGACAGGAAGTGAGGGGGCACCTCAGCTGCTGTCTGATGGAGTCGCTCGTATTTGTACCCGTATGCAACAGACGATTTCTCTCAGTCCCACGGAATCAAACGGGTCAGCCTCTGCCTTGTTATGGAAGCCTGTTAAACAAAGACTGAAGCATCCGTCAAAAATCAATCAGCGAGCAGGCTTGCGGGGCACACTCCCCCCGCGGCTCGGAGCGGGGGGTGAGCCGAGGCGCCTCAGCCAGCCCTGCCTCTTGTTTTGTGCTGTTTTTCAAGGTTTGCTTTTCTTTTCCTCACTTCCACTTTACCCTCCTTGTTATTAGTAAGTTTTTGCAAACTGAGGCCGGGCTGTTTTGGGACTGCAGTGTTGTGAAGCTCATATTCACCGCGTTCTGCTCTCCTTACTCACGGCCGCACTTTGAGTACATCTCCTCCCTATTTGTTTCATGCTGTTTTTTCTTGATACTTCCCTCCCCCCCCCCCCACCCCGAGCTCAGAACTGGTGTCACTGGAGACCTACTCACAAAGTTCTGAACACTTCACCACTGAACAAAAAGTGTTGTTTTAATTCAATGGTGTGTTTCTTGCAGTGATGTTTTTTTAACATGCCTCACTTTAATATAATTAAACCAGAAGCTCAGGCAGGTAAGTCTATTCTGAACTGGCACGGACGGAGCGCCGTCCATAGGGGGAGTCTGGGTGTGTCATTTGGGTGTCCCTCTCAGCAGGACAAGTGGCTTTTGATCTACGATGGAGGAGGTGAATCAGCTGAAAGATCCTATCAGCACCAGCTAGATGAATAAAACAGCTTTGTGCACAGGAAAGGTACCATTCAGTTAGTTAATATTAATATTAAAATATACATGAAAAGAATGTCAAAAAGTCAGCAATATCCATGTATATTTCTTATTTAAATTATTCACAGAAAAAAGATTAATATAACTGTTATAAACCAGCTGTTTCTTTTAGCTTGTTACATGCAGTATTTAGTTTATGAGCAAAGTTCATTTTACCCTAAAAAGGCTTTTTTGACTGTAGATTATCAATTTCACTGGTNCTGTGAGAAACATTTTCGTTTTGGACTCGGTTCAACGTATGGCATTCTGGGTAATCTTCATCATATGTGTGTCTCCCCCCCCCCCCCCCCCCCCCAAAAAAAAAAAGAAAAGAAATTAGTCCTTTTTTGTTTCCTGCAGAAGCAAATTGCCTCTGGCAATTTTAAAAATAGCCGGGCAATTTTCAGGCCATGAAACAATGCAGGAACGTGGAAGCAGCCTCCTGGATCATCGTTCGTTAATTTCAGCGGGAAATGTAGAACGTGGCACTATGTAATTACGGCGCATATTAATGACGCGGGGGCTGGATTCCTGAAGGGCTGATCATTTTGTCAAAAGACGCAGCGAGCTGGAAGACGACGCGATCCCAAACGGAAGAGCCTCACCATTTTCTTCCAAGTTTCCGCTCTGTCACGCCTGGGGGGTGGGGGGTAGTTATTTCAGGAGCAGGTTTAATGAAGAAAAAAACAAGAGGGAGTGAAAGGATGGCAGGACTCTGCTGTCAGTGTGACAACGCTGAATCCCATCCATCAAAGACCAGGAATTCAACCCTGATCAGTTAGCCGCCTGTTTCCAAAAACCCGAGATCAGGAGGGCTGGGATTCACACACAGGTGTGCCGACGCTCACAGGGTCAAAGGGCAAAGGTTAAAATGCTGCCTATTCCCCCACAGGCTTGCAGAAGGGATTGCAGGCAGGCGGGAAACATCGGCACGGATCCACAGCAAACCGGAACATGGATATGGGAGATGTGGCAAGTGTTCTCCATCCATAATCCAAGTGTTCTCCGTCCATAATCCAAGTGTTCTCCGTCCATAATCCAAGTGTTCTCCGTCCATAATCTCACCTGACAAGGACACAGTGGGTAACATGGAAACATGGGTGGTGTATCTGCTATGGACCGCTCTACGGACCAAAAGGTTCTGGGTTCAAGTCCTGTTCAACTCTGGGAAAAATGTTTTTGCACCTTAGGATAATGGATTTCCTTTGTGAGCAACTAGCTGTAAAAATATATTAAAGTTATGAGGAATATATTTTAACAGCTATAAGCATTTTATGAGCTCAAATCATTTCCTGTCCTGATGAGTCTCCACCCCCCTTTCCCTCATGGCAGGTTCTACGCCTCTAAAATGGATATAGACCCTGGAGCAGATCGATAACCTTGCATATAAATGCCCCCATTGGCAGAGTAGTCTTTACCGTTTAATTTAACAATAATGACAATCCCTTTAACCCTCCAAATAAAGGTCCGGCTCCCGCGAAGAGCGCTGAATTGTAAAGCTGCCCGTTGAGTCCAGCTTCCCGACCTGCTGTGATCCAGCAGCGACTGAGAACCTGCCGTCCTTTTGAGTCGCGACCGCTCGCTCACAAAAGACGCAAAAGTGCAAGAGTCACGTGACTGACTGCTTCTCCACGTCCGAGTCCAGTTAAAACGAGGCTTTAAAAATATCGAATACTTTCCTTTTTTACGGAAAACTCACAACCAGCCCACTGTACCTCATCAAAACGGTACCTTATTAAACCTCAACAGTGCTGTTTGATTGTAAAATGTCAGGCTCATCCATGCTGCTTTTTTTGGACGTGTGTCCTGTTGTCATCGTTCTGAGGGGTAAATAACTGCCGTGTGACTTGGTGATCCTATATAGTGGGTCAGGAGGTCACTGATTTTATGGGGGGAGGTTTTTAATCACCTCTGATCATCTGAGATCGGGGTGGCTTTGCGCTGCACAGCCTGCTGTTCTTTCACTGCACCTCACTAAGTTACTGAGGCTCCGTCGATGCCCCCGAATCCCCACTCTGGCCTGACAGCCTGCGAAGACGCAATCCTCCAGCACGCACACATTCAGAGTGTGACTCCATCAGCCGGCAGCGACCAGGGGGAGTGGCGGGGCGGGGGAGGGGAGCGGGGGGGATGCAAATATGAGAAGTTGGGCTTTGAGTTTCGTCTTCGCAGCCTTTTTCTTACATAAATGTCACGTCTGAGAACCTGGGGGGAGCAGGCGCGGCGTGACAGCATTCTGCGGCTGGCGCCCCCCCCAGCGCTGATGGGAACACTGGCAGCCAGTAACCCTCGAGTGCTCTTTCAATTATCCACCCGCCTTCCTCTTGACAAAAGCGCCCCCCCTGGTTCCGCTGTATCCCGCCAGTCCTCCGCGCCTGTGAGAGAGATAATGACCCGTCTGTAAGCGGGGATGGGTGCAGGCGCACCTTCTCGCCTGGGGGGGCAGACCGTCTCTCCCGTCCATCTCCGCTCACTGCCGCGGCGCCCCCGTGCTGCGAGCTGGCCCCCCTCACACGCCGCGAGCTCCGCTGACAAAGCCAGAACCTAAAGTAAAATCAGCGCCCCCCCGTCACATGGCTGACAGCTCTATTATTGATCCCCCCTCCCCTGGACGACACCCCTGTATGACTCAGTTGTGCATTTCCATCCACTGACACGGAATGCACCAGCTCACACAAGGGGGGGCACAAAAAAATGAAAGAGACAGACAGAAGGAGGAATGGAAGCGAACGCAGCCTTGCCCTGAACCCTGCCTTTAAACACAACCCACGCTTCAGCTACCGGCAGACGCATAATTAACCACGCGAGAGGCTCATTGGCTCCGCCTACAACTCACGCCTCCTAATGAACGAGCGCTGCCGAATATTTAGCGCTCTCCGGTATGCTGGCGGCCCTGAGGTCTTAACACTGCGTTAAGCTTAACACGCTTCCTGAGGAACGTTAAATAATAATAATAATAGTAATAATAATAATAATAATAATTATGATAATAATAATTATTATTGTTGTCGTTGTTAATGATAAACAAATAAATAAAGACATTAACACAATCGACTAGACGAATTATGAACACAAAGAAAGTTCTGGAAACACCAGGATGCCTCTTAGCAGCTGGTAACGTTTGGTCGACAGCAGCGGGACGTCCCTATAATGGAGGGAGTGGCGAGGGGGCCGCTCTGGTTGATGGGGTGTGTCAAGCCCAGGTCATACAGCACAGACACATGCGTGTGGCACACT